ATTCATTGTCCAGCTCTCACATGCATACGAGGCGATTGGAAATATCATGGCTTGTGTCAGGTGCACCTTAGTCCTCATGGAGATACCCTTGCTCCTCAGCACTTGAAAGAGTTCCTTCGCGGCCGACCTGCCCAGTGCTACACATCATCTAATGTCCTGACCACTGCTTCCATTGGCGTTGATTGTTGAACCAAGCAATGTGAAGTCTTATTTTTGTTTTCTTTATATTGAGATGTAATCCATACTGCAGACTGTATTCTTCAACCTTTATCAGTAAGTGCCTCGAGTCATCCTCACTTCCAGCAAGCAAAGTTGTGTCATCAGCGTATCACAAGTTGTTAATGATTCCTCCTACAATCTTGATGCCACATTCTTCTTCATATAGTCCAACTTCTCAGATTATTTGCTCAGCATACAGATTGAATAAGCATGGGGAAAGGATACAACCCTGACACACTCCCTTCTTGATTTTAAACCATGCAGTGTCTCCTTGTTCTGTTTGAACAACAGCCTCCTTGTCAATGTACAGGTTCCTCATGAGCACAATCACATGTTCTGGAATCCCCAGTCTTCTAAATGTCATCCACAATTTGTTATGATCCACACAATCAAATGCCTTTGCATAGTGAATAAAACACAAGTAACATCTTTCTGGTATTCTTTGCCTTGAGCCAGGATCCATCTAATAGCAGCTATTGAGATCCCTTGTTCCACGTCCTCTTCTGAATCTACCCTGCACCTCTGGAAGTACTGTCAATATACTGCTGCAACCGTTTTTGAATTATCTTCAGGAAGATCTTACTTGCGTGCAATATTAATGATATTGTTCAATAATTTCTACATTCTGTGGGATCACCTTTCCTTTGGAATGAGTACAAATATGGATCTCTTCCAGTCAGAATGGAGACTAGCCAAAGCAAACAGAAGAAATGACCAGATAAAAGAGCTGAACAGAAGATTTCAAAGAGCAGCTTGAGAAGACAAAGTCAATTATTATAATGAAATGCGCAAAGACCCAGAGTTAGAAAACCAAAAGGGAAGAAAATGCTTGGTGTTTCTCAAGCTGAAAGAACTGAAGAAAAAAATTCAAGCCTCGAGCTGCAATATTGAAGGATTCTATGGGCAAAACACTGAATGATGCAGGAAGCAGCAAAAGAAGATGGAAGGAATACACAGTCATTTTATCAAAAAAATTGTTCAATGTTCAAATATTTCAGGAGATGGCATATGATCAAGAACCAATGGTATTGAACAAAGAAGTCCAAGAAAGGTGATCCAATAGAATGTGGAAATTATCAAACAACGAAAGCATTAATATCAAATGCAAGTAAAATTTGCTCAGGATAATTAAAAAATGGTTGCTACTGTATATTGACAGGGAACATCCAGAAATGCAAGCTGGATTCA